ACAAACAAAAAACCAAAATCACACATGGGTGTTGTTCAGAAAAGTGAGGATCCAGTAAACATGAGACCAGCCCTCTTTGCTTAGGGATGGGGTAAGACAATCCAGGCCATAGTGAAAGATCATTTACTTCCGGTTCACAGTTCAAAGGCCGCCGCCTGGGGTCCAGATGGGGTCCAGTGTTGACCAGATGTAAAACCAGGGAGAGACCTATGCCACGCTGGTGGGGTGTCACGGTTCAACTCATCAGAAACAACCTGTGGGAAGGCCTGGGGAGGGGGGGCACCTGCCTCAGGAGAGATCCAGTGATGGCAGTTTCAGAGGCGTCTGGGACTAGAACCCCAAGTCCCAGACTGTTACAACTTGGTATGGGTCCAAGCATTTAGATCATGAGACCCGGCCAATTTTATTTATTTATTTATTTTGCTTTTTGGGTCACACCCGGCGATGCGCAGGGGTTACTCCTGGCTTTGCACTCAGGAATCACTCCTGGCGGTGCTCGGGGGACCATATGGGATGCTGGGAATTGAACCCGGGTCGGCCGCGTGCAAGGCAAACGCCCTACCCGCTGTGCTATGGCTCCAGCCCTGAGATCTGGCCAATTTTAGTAGAGGGAACAACTTCCCTATGTGGGGGAAACCACACATGCTTGGAAATGTCCTGTGTTCTGAGACACGGGGAGAGACTCACAGTCACCAAGAGGCCAGATGAAGGAACAGCTACAAAAGCTCATCCCAGCAAAACCACACCTGGCAGTGCTCAGAGAAATGGCAAAGCCAAGGCGGGAAACTCGGCTCTGCCCACTGGCCTCGGCTGGCTCCTTCAGAGCAGGGGGAGGCAAGGAGCAGAGTCTCACAGTAGTCATGACATTTAATTATTGATTTTGATTTTTGGGGGGGGGAGTCACACTCAGCAGCGCTCAGGACAAACTAGGCTCAATCCAAGGACCTTAAATCCCTGTACTACCTCTCCAGCCCCCACAACTGTCTTTTTTGTTTGCTTGTTTTTTCTTTTTGGGTCATACCCGGCGATGCACAGGGGTTACTCCTAGCTCTGCACTCAGGAATCACCCCCGGCGGTGCTCAGGGGACCATATGGGATGCTGGGAATTGAACCCGGGTTGGCCGCGTGCAAGGTAAATAAATGCCCTCCCCGCTGTGCTATTGCTCCAGTCCCCCACAACTGTCTTTGGCTGGAAGAACAGAGGTGCCTGTGTGCGCCCCCATAGATATTGTGTGGGGGGTGGGGGGAGGAAATGTCGGGTGGGGGCTGGGAGGGGGCTGGGAGGGGGTGTCTCAGAACACTCTTGGGCATTCCCAAGCATGTGCGGTTTCTCCCCACATAGGGAAGTCATTCCCTCCTCTGAAATTGGCCGGGTCTTTGGGGCTAGAGCGATAGCACAGCGGGTGGGGAGTTTGCCTTGCACGCAGCCGACCCAGGTTCGATCCCCAGCGTCACATATGGTTCCCTGAGCACCGCCGGGGGGTAATTCCTGAGTGCAAAGCCAGTAACCCCTAAGCATCACCAGGTATGACCCAAAAAGCAAAAATAAATAATAATAATAATAAAAATAAATTAAAATTGCCGGGTCTCATGATGCAAATGCTTGGACCCATACCAAGGAGTAACATTCTGGGACTTGGGGTTCCAGGCCTCCAGAGGGCTCCTGGTGTTGCAGCCTGGCTTCCTAGGTCGGCAGCCCTGGAAGGGCATGGCAGGAGAGGCAGGAGCAGGCGGGAAAGGCAGGCCGGCATCAGCCTCCCCCTCAGTCCTCGGGCAGAACTGGATAATCGAGCAGGGAACAGACTGTGCCAGGCCAGCGGGCTCCCCACGGCACTTACTGCTGCAAGCCAGGCAGGGGGGCGTGAGGAATTCTGGGCCTCGACAGTCCTGGTCTCAGGCTGGGAGGTTCCAGATGGAAAATTGGCCATTGTGGTTCATTACTTGTGATTTACAGAGTGCTTAGCATAGATCAAATGTTTGCCACGGTGAAACAGAAACTAGATCATGTGTGTAAATGTTTGAAATTTTTATTTGCCTCCTGGGATCACGCCCGATGATGGCAGGGTCACTCCTAGCTCTGCACTCAGGAGTTACTCCCGGCGGTGCTCCGGGGCCCATATGGGACGCCAGGGATTGAACCCGGGTCAGCCACGTGGAAGGCAAACGTCCTACCTGCTGTACTATCGCTCCAGCCCCAAGTGTATAAAATTTATTACCTTTGTTTTCATTTGTCTTAACCTTTATACCTTTAAGCCGTGTTGGTTTGTATTTCTTACTGTGAACTTCCTGTTGTTACTCTTCATTTGTCTACTTTTGTTGTTTGGGGGTCCCACCCAGGGGAGCTCAGGGACCACATGCAGTGCCAGGATGCGTCTGGAGCCAGCTGTGTCCAAGGCCGCAGCCTTACCCACTGTCCTACCTCTCCAGCACCTATGGGTCCATTTTTTTTCCTTTTGCTTTTTGCTTTTTGGGTCACACCTGGCGATGCACAGGGGTTACTCCTGGCTCTGCACTCAGGAGTTACTCCTGGCAGTGCTCAGGGGACCATATGGGATGCTGGGAATCGAACCCGGGTCGACCGCGTGCAAGGCAAACGCCCTACCCGCTGTGCTATCCCTCCAACCGTGGGTCCATTTTTCATGATCCGCAGAAAGTTGGCAGAGTAAGGAAAGAGCTCTTGGAGCGCCTGTTTCACCAACGCTAACTCCCATTGCTGCCTCCAAGATGTATTTCACCGCGCAGACACTGTTTCTAGGGAATTTCCTGTGGTTCGGGTTATCGTTGGTCGGGACTGAGCTTCACAGGCAGGCGGCCTGGGCCCTCTGAGCTTTAGAAAGCTACACCTGGCCAGAGTTCTACCAGGTGTGGGTCAAAACCAAGTTATCATAGGTGAGCAACAAGGTTACAGAAGGCTTTCTTCTCGCAAGATTATCTTTCAACCATCTCAACTACCCTTTCTAGGGAGGGGCACACCCACAGATGCTCAGGGCTTATTCCTGACTCTGCACTCATGCATCACTCCTGGTGGGCTCTGGGGATCGTAGGGGATGTCAGGAACTGAACCCAGGCCCGTCCACATGTCTCTGGCCCCTCACTACTTTTATGTTTTTTTTTTTCTTTTTGGGGTCATACCTGGCGATGCTCAGGGGTTACTCCTGGCTCATGCACTCAGGAACTACTCCTGGCGGTGCTTGGGGGACCCTATGGGATGCTGGGAATCGAACCCATGTTGGCCGCGTGCAAGGCAAACAAAAACGCCCTACCCGCTGTGCTATTGCTCCAGCCCCCTGGCTTTTTTTTTTAAGCTTTTTGGGGTCACACCCAGCGATGCTCAGGAATTACTCCTGGCGGTGTTCGGGGGACTATATGGGATGCCAGGGCTCAAACCCATGTCGGCCGCGTGCAAGGCAAAGGCCTTTCTGGCTGTGCGCTCGCTCCAACCCCTATGGCTTTATTTCAAACTTTAACCCACACCCCAGTACTGGCCTCTTGTTACTGAAGTCAGCGCCACTGCAGCCCTGTCCTTTGCTACTCGCCCCCAAATCTGGTACTTTACAGTGTTTTCTATTCAGAAGCTGTTCAGTTACTGGCTGTCCCGGATCCACTCTCCTTGGAACTGAATGTGCCAAGTTCAAAAAAAAAAAAAAGAAAAGAAAAAGTCAATGCTACTGATTTTGACGGCTTCCTTTGCAGTTTGGCTGTCGAAGGCACCAGAAACCGCCATGTGTGCAAGTCTGCCTTTGGAGGGGGGAATCACAGGGCCCCGAGAAGCCCCGGAGGTGGCCCCAGCCTGGTCCCCCACCATAGAGACCTGGCAGCTCGGGGCCACATCTCAGCGCAGACCCCAGGATGCTCACTGCGGGCCCAAGCAGGGACCTTGAGCCCAAGGTCAGCCGCGCCCAGTGACGTCACCGGGGCAGCCCACAAACCAAACAGCCCTTGGCTGGGTTCCTCCGCCCTCACCTGCAAAACACGGAGGGCCAGGACTCGCCAAGGGCACCCCCAGGGAACAGGATCACCGGCAATCCGGGTGATGCCAAGACGGGCTTGCCCCCACAAAACCCCCAGCTCACTGTGCCCAGTGCGACGACCCCCCACCCCCACTTCCAGCTGCCCAAGTCCAAGTCGGAAGTGAAAGATTCTTTATTATCCTACGGACTCCGGTCAAGAGCTCTAACTGAGAAAATATACAAAGCCTTTAGGAGACCCCCCTCCGGAGTGGGCGCCCCGTTCCTGGAGTCGGTCGGGCTAGCAAAGGGTTAGTAAAATCATGCGGAGTGCGGGGGGAGTGCAGCGGGGAGTTGGGGGTTCCAGGGTGGGGCGGGGCCTGTCCCCCCCCACCGACCCTGTCCCTCCCCCCCACCTGACCTTCGCTTGCTCTACTCTGCACCCTTCCCTGCCCCTGGGGACCCCCACACCCGCCTTGTGCTCGGGGGAGCCTGGCTCCCGCGTCTTTGGTTCCACTCTGTGAATGATTGTGCTTAAGACTCATCCCTACCCCACCCCCAACTCCCGGGTCCCGGCTCCCCTGTGGGGGGGGGGGGCTGAAGGCACTGACATGTCCTGGGAAGAGCCCCGCTCCCTCCCCCAGCCCCAGCCGTCCCCCTTTCCTGTGCTCTCCATGGGCTCCCCATGGCATGTCCCTAGCAAGCCCCCTCCCCACCGCAGACACTGGCCTTTGCAGTTACTCCCACCTGTGCAGGGATTTCTGGGCCCCCCTCCCCACCTTCCCCCTCCCCCTCCCCCCTCCCTGTGCCCTTAACCAGGGGCCCAGGGCACCAGACCCTGGCAGCCTTGACTTCAAGAGGATGGTCTCAGAAACCGTCTAGGGGTCTAGGGGTGTATCCCTCTGCGGCTCCCCACTACCCGCCCCCCCAGACCCAAAGGTCAGCAGAGCTGGAGGCCAGGCCAGGCCAAGGTGGGGGTGGGGCTGGGCAGGGCAGGGCAGGGGGATACACAGCACACGGACCGGGCGGCGCCCAGGGCCAGCAAAGCAGGGGAGGCCGGAAGAGGCGCAGAGGGCGGGCGGGCGGGGGGGAGGGCCGGGCGGGCCCCTCACACCACCCCGCAGATGAGGGTCTCCACCACGAACGTGTTCTCGAAGTGGCGGATGGCGTTGCAGGGCTGGGCCGCGCGCTTGGTGATCCCTGGGAAGGGAGAGAGACCCATGAGAGGGGCCCGAGGCGAGGAGGGGTGGAATGCAGGGGGCCCACGCGGGGGGGGGGGTGCTGGGGGGGCTGGGGAAGTGGGGTGCGGGGTGTCCAGCACTGCTGTGTGCCCCTAGGGGTGACACTTGACCTCTCGGGCAGCGCAGAAGGGCAGCAAGGACACCGGGAACGGAGGGCAAGCAGCCCCGGGAGGCCGGACGCTGGTCACTTACGCCTCCGGGTGGCCCGGCGACGCAGGCGGTACGTGTCCTTCCCGCTGCACAGGTGGTAGATGAAGGAGCCCAGAGCCTCCTTGTCGCTGACGTGCTCGGTGACCACCATCTCCTCCTGGATGATGTAGGTCTGCGGTAGGTAGGTCCCTCTCTGCAGGGGGGCGGGAGGGGGTGGTGGGTATCAGCCGCTGGGCCCCGCCCTGCACCCCTCCCCCACCCACACACCCATCCGGGCCCTCCTGTTGGTGCCGCCCCGGTGGGCTTCGGTGGGAACTGGGCGGTGCCCGCAGTGGGCAGGGGCCTCCAGACTAGGATGAGGGCAAGAGCACCGCGGGGAGCGGGGGTGCTGGCTGAAGGAGGCAGCTGTGGCCCTGAGCACCCCCCCCTCCCCAGTGGCCAACAGGGGGAGGGGCCGCACGCCCCCCCCCCCCCCCACTCACCTTCACGTTTATAAGCAGCTCCCAGAAGTTCCGGGGGGGCAGCACAATGGTGGTGTTGAGTTCGATGATGTAGCACTTGTCCAGGGAGATGTCGTGGTAGGCGGTGAGGCCCTGTAAGGTGGGCAAGGGAGGGGGAGGAGTGGTACCCGAGTCTCTGGGGGGGGGGGGGGCAAAGCTCACTCCTCCCGGAAGAAGGAACTCCAAGTTCCTGGCCACCTCCGGGAGCCCTTTCCTGCTCCTCTCCTCGCCCAGTGCAGAGGCTTCCTCCTGGTTCTGCACTCAGGAGTCATTCCCGGTAGCACTCAGGGGACCATCTGGGGTGCCGGGGATCGAACCCAGGTCGGCTGTGTGCAAGGCAAGCGCCCTCCCCGCTGGACTCTCGCTCCGGCCCCCAATCCCTGTTTCTGCTGCAGAAACACGGCCCTGGAGGGTGGGTCAGTCCTGAAGCCTGGAAGTAGTCGCTGGCAGAGGTGCCCGGGGGATCCCTGTGACTCCCAGAGGGGCCCCTGGGTCCTGACATCGCACAAGCGAAATTCAAAAACCCCGGGTGGGATTAAGGTCTGGGAAGGGCTCTGGGGAATCTTCTGGAAAGCTGGGACGTCCAGATCTTCCCCCACCAGGTGGAAGGTCATGCATGCAAGCCCCCAGCCTCAATCCACTCATGTCCTTTACAGGCGGCGTGGAACAACAGGTCCCTAAGCTGTCACCATGATCAAGCATCCCCGTGCAAAGATCTCACGAAACGGGGCGCCCATAGTTCTGGACGCCGAGCCCCGGCCGGCTACAGTTTGGAGAGAAATTCAATCTTTTTATGAATACCGCAGGGGTGGGGGGTGGGGGTGGGGGGTCATCGTCAATGGGTGAGGGGCGTCCGTCCCCGCCTCACCCGCTGGAAGTCGTGGATGATGTCGGCCGGGTCCCCGCCCCCGAACTGGGGCACCGGCACGTTGATGCGCTCGTAGTTCTCCTCCAGGTAGATGTTCACGTCCTCCTCCAGCTCCATGCGTGTACGCAGCTGCGAGGACAGCGAGTCCTCGTAGAACACGCCGCAGTGGAAGAAATTATCCCGGGCCAGCTGTGGGGGGGGGGGGGCGGAACGACGGTCAGGCGCACCCCCAGCGAGCCAGGTGTGCAGGTTCTGAGACAGCCTCAGTTTCCCTGGGGGTAAACATCACCTCAAGCCCCTTAAGGAGTTGGGGAGAGTGCACCCTTCCGCCACCAGGGGGCGCTCGCCCCGTCCTGCCTGCTCCCCCCCACTCTGGTGGGACCCTGGGAGACCTGGGGGGTCCTTAGCATGTGAGACAGTCACCCCCGGCAGCTCCATCAGGGAGAGGAGGGGGTGGCACCCCCTCCCCGTGAGCTCTCCCAGGACAAACACCCACCCTATGAATCCTACACTGAGGGCTGTGATGGGGGCTGGGAAGAGGGGCCCTGAAGCCAGGGAAGGTTGGGGGGACCCTCCACTCCCGGGGACAGTGGGAATGGGCCATCAGAGGGGTGGAGGAGCCCCGGGGAAAGCAGAAGGCACTGGCCAGGCAGGCATGTGGGACCTGAGGGTCCAAGACATAGCCCCCCACCCTCCCAACACAACTCCCCAGAAACTTCCGGTTCTTAGAGACCCCGGGAGACAGTGGAAGGGCAAGGCCAGGGTGACAGGGGCCTCCTGTGCGCGTCCCTCCATGTCCATGGCCTTGGGTGACCTTCTCTTTCCAGAGACTGGCAGTGAGGGCAGTTACCTGGGTGCCAGCCGGGGCCCTCCCTGGAGCGGGTGAGCCCTAACGTCACCCCTTCCTCTAGAGCTCATTCAGAACCCATGACGCTCAAACGCTATCTCTGATGGGGTCAGGGGACAATCACGCGACACTGTATGTGTGTGTGTATGAATGTGACTTGTTTGTATGTCTGAGTATATACGTGTGTGTGTATGTGTCTGTGTAAATGTGAGTGAGTGTGTGTGTGTGCCCCTAGCATCTCACCTGAGCCAGGAAGAAGTAGCGGTAGATGTAGACAAAGGCGAAGGCCAGCCCCATGAGCAGGACCAGCATGCCCACGGACAGGTAGCACATGCCACCCACGGAGCCCCCCTTCCTGTGGCGGTGGCATGGTGGGCGCTCCTCCTGCAGACGGCAGTGCAGGGTCAGTCACGGGGACCCCTGGCTCAACCCCCACCCCCAGCCCCAGCAAGACAGCTTCGCCCTAGCTGCGTGCTGACCCGGCACGGAGCCGCATCCATACGCCAGGATGCCGGGCCTGGTGCCCGCAGGAATATTGGGGTGCTCTGGGCAGTCAGGTGAGCAGTCACGGGGGCCTGGAATGGGGGCAGGAGCCCAGCCCCCCAGCCCGCCAGGGCATCCCCAGACCCTCAGACACCCGCAGGCAGGTCTAGAGGCGTCGGAAGTCGCGGCTGCCCCCCTCACCCCCGCCCCCAACGTGGGGATGACAGCAGCCACCAGGAGTCTGTGTCGAGACCCGGGCAGATGGCAGAGCACTGCACTGGGAGTCCCGCTGTCAAACTCCTGGCTGGGACCTCCTCTCCTTTCCCAGCCTGTCCCCCCGTAACTGACCCAGGCTCGCAGAAGCCCTGTTGTCTCTGCCCCAAAGCACAGAGGTCAGAGGTCAGTCCCTGACCCTCCCCAGCTGCTAAGGTGGGGGCCGTAGTCCAGGCCAGCTGTGGCACTCAGGGGCCCCCACCGTGCCTCCTCTGGGGACCCCCCTCACTGCATACAGCCACCCGCCTGCTTCAGGGGCCGCCATTCTGCACCCCAAACTGTAGAGCTGGTCTGGGAGGCTCTTCGCCTGGGTCCTGCTCAGGGGTCCCACAGTCAAGACCAGAGAAGCACCAGGGCACACAGTGGGAGGGTCCGGGGGCACCTGGGAGGGGGAAGGGGTATGGGGGTGACTAGGCTGCCCTGAGCAAGGTCACTGGCCACACAGCCAGAGCGGTTGGGGGTTCTCCAAGGGGGTCCTGGAGCTGAACCCACAGCCCATGGCCAAGCTCCCACGTGCCCGGACGCCCGTGCAGTGCCGGGGTCTGCTTCCCCCAGCTGTGTGCTTTGGGGTGACAGGGGAGGGGGTCCAGAATCCAGCCAGGCAGTCCAAGGGGCTCAGTCCCTGTGGTTAGCGGGCTGGGAGGCAGCAGGGACCCAGCACCAGCCGGGCTGGGTCAGAGGGTGGACAAACTGGGCTGCACCTGGCCCGCAACTCCAGGAGGCTGCTGGGGACAAGCTTTGCTCTGGGCTTCTGAAAGCCCAGGGTCAGTTCTAAACAATGTGGGGCCACGGGGCTGGAGCAATAGCACAGCGGGGAGGGCATTTGCCTTGCACGCGGCTGACCTGGGTTCGATCCCCAGCATCCCATAGGGTCCCCTGAGCACTGCCAGGAGTAAGTCCTGAATGCAGAGAGAGAAGTAACCCCTGTGCATCGCCAGGTATGACCCAAAAAGAAAAAAAAATTTTTTTTTTAAAAAAACAATGCGGGGCCAGAGCAACAGGCAGCGGGGAGGGCACTTGTCTTGCATCTGCCAGTTTGATGCCCACATCCCGTTCAGCCCCTGGACCCCACCAGCACTAACTCCCAAGGGCAGAGCCAGGAGGGACCCCTGAGCACCGCCAGCTAAGACCCTGAAACGAAACGAGCACAGTGGGCAGTGGACAGGGCACTTCCTGGCGCACAGCAAATCTGAGTTCGATCCCCAGCACCCCATAGGGTCGACCCTCTGAGCACCACTGGGTGTGACCCCAAAACCAAAAATTAAAAAGGCAGGATGAGAGGTGGCGGGTGGGAATCAGATGGTCCGGCCTGAGGCAAAAGACCCTCTGAGAGGAGGTCAGGCAAAGCCCTGGTGGGCAGTGGGGGGACACCCCCTTGGCTGCCCGAGCACCAGCAGGGGTGAGGCTGGCTGTCCACTGGCTGTTACCCACCGCTGTGACCTCTGGGGGGCTTCCCTTCATCAAGAAACACAGCACTGAGTTTCCAAGGCAACGGGCCTCAGCACTCATGTGGGACCCCAGCTGGTACCAGGAACCAGGTGACAGCCAACTGGAGCATTAACTCAGCGACCCCCACAGCCCCTCAGAGCCCGAAAGGGGGTCCGGAGGGCTCCCCACAGGAGCCTCCAAAGGAGCCTGGGCCCAGACCCCACCACCAGGCCAGGAGAGCTGGGGGCTGAGTGGGCCCCTCAGCGTGTGCGTTCGGGGTGGGGGTGAAAAGGAAAAAAGAGAGGGTGGAAGGGAGGGGAGAAGGGAGGGGCAGGGAAGGAGAGAAGAAAAGAGGAGGGGGAGGGTTAGGAGGGGAAATGGGAGGAGAGGAGGGAAGGGAGGACGCAGGGGAGGGAGGAGAGAGGAGAAAAGAGGAGCAGAGGGGAAAGGAGGGGAGGGGAGGGCGAGGAGGGGGGAGGGGACGGGGAGAGTGAAGCCCCGGGCTAGGGCGGGCCAGGAATGGGACTGACCCTTCCAGGTGGGGCCTCTGCGCCCTCCCCCAGCCACTCGGGGATCCAGCCCCCCTCTGAAACCTGAGCTCCAGGTATGCGCGGCGGGGGAGGGGCGCGCACCGGGAGTCCCACGGGGAGATGGTGGGCGCACAGCTGGACGCTACTGGGGGGCCCCCTCCGGGGCCAGAGCCGCGCCGGACAGACCCGGCCAGTGTCCAGGGTTGGGGCCCGCGAACCCCGCTCCGGCCCGCGGCCCTTCCTGGGGGGGGGAGCTTCACTCCTCCCGAGGCAGAGGGTGGGGGTCCACCCTGAGCTCACCCCCGACACAGAAGCCTCCGCACCCCCATCTGACGGCAACCGGCCCCCACCCCGAGGGAGCACGACCCCCACCCCCGCAGGAGCAGCAGGGGGCCGTGCAGGCGCGGGGACCCCCCCCCCCCCAGTCCTTTAGCGGCGGGGGAGGGGCGGCCGCGCGCCGGTCAGCGGGACTGTCCAGCTCAGACCCGGCGCTGCCCCCTGCCCGGCTGCAGCCGCTGAGGGCCAGGGGGCCACGCCGGGAAGGGGGGCTCCCACCGGCGGTGCCTCCCAGCTCTGGGCACCCCCGCCCCCGTCCCCGCAGGGTCCAGGCCGCCCTCTGGCAGCCCCCGGCACTGCCCGGGCAACACTGGGTCGGAGCCACCGAACTTGGGGAGACGCCTGGACGCCGCGGGGAGGGGGTGGGGGGCGCGAGCGGACAAAGACTTTCTAAGTCCGGGAAGGGGGCGGCCGTGGGGCGCCCCAGACCGCGGAGCACACGCCGTCTCGGCCCGCCCCGCTCCCCCAGACGCCCCGGGCCGGAAAGGCGGGGGTGGGGGCGCCGGCGGGGTGGACCGAGGCCCGGACGCGGGGGGTTTGGGTGGGTGGGGGGGACCGCCCACGCGGGGGAGGGGGAAACCCCCCCCCCAACCGACCGCGCATCCCGGACGTGCGGCCAGGCTGGCCCCGGCTCATTTCGGGTTCCCAGACGCGGCAGGCGGGGGAGGGGGTCGCCGAGCAGCCGCACCGCCCACCAACACCCCCCGTCGCCCCCCGACGTGGGCGCCAGACTCCCTCCGCCCACCCGGGGGCCCCCCAGGTCTGCTGCGGGGAGCGGCGCCCGCAGCTCCCCACCCCCCGTCCCCCCGCGCGGGGCCCCTCCCCCTGGACTGGACCCAGACGCCCCGCCCCCGCCCCTCCAACTGGGCCGCCAGCCCCTGCCCCCTAGACCGCGGGGGTCCCGAGTGCGGGGGGGGGGGGGGCGCACCACGACGGTCTGGCACGGCTGAGACCCGCAGCGTTTCCCCAGCCCCTATCTGTCCCCGGGACCCCTCCCCATTTGGAGGCCACTGTCCCCACACGCCCCCCCTCGCTCGCTCTGCTCGCGGCCCCCCGGGGTCCCGCTCCGGCCCCCGCGACCCCCGCCCCGGCTCACCCGCGCGGGCGTCAGCAGGATCTCGGCGGCCGCCGGCGCGGGCTCGGCCGGGTCCGCCTTGTCGGCCTTGGCGCCGCCCGCGGCCGGCTGGAAGCTGATCTTGACCATGACTGCGCCCACCCGCAACCTCCGCCCGAGCCGCCGCGCTCCGCCGCGCCGGAAGTCGGGACCCCGCTCGCCCCCTGCTCCCGGCCCCGCCCCGGCCCGCCCCGGCCCGCCCCGCCCCCCGCCGCGCCTGCGCCCCCGTCGCCGCGCGCTCCGGCTCCGGCCCCTCCCGGCCCGGCCCGGCCTCCCCGCTCCGGGGCCCCCGCGCCCCTCCCGCCGCCTCCTTGCTGCCTGCCCGCCCCCCACCCCCCCGGCCGCGCCCCCCGAGGAGGCTGAGACCCAAAGCCCCCCACCCCGGCCGCCCTCCCCCGAGCCTCCGGTGCAAGCCGTGCTGCAGCCACGGGATCACCGACTCTGCAGCCAACCCCCCCCCCCCCCCGCTCCCCTCCGACCTGCCCCCGACCCCCCGCCCAAGTAAAAAGAAATTCCAACCCGGGGCCGGCCGGAGAGGTAGCCCGGGGTAAGGCCGGCCTCGCACCCGGGTTCGAATCCCAGGCGCCCACCTGTGCTCCCCGGGTCCACCGCCAGGGGTCGCTCCTGAGCACGGGGCCGGGAATGATGCCCCAAAGCCCCGCTGAGAGGAGGGGGTCCCCCCCCAAAAAAGCCTGACCCACATTTCTTGCCTCTCCGGAAAGATGGGAAAGGCTGTACCCGGAGACTTGGGTTCCAGGGAAGACGGTCCCCGCAGAGACCCCGGCCGCGTCCTGGCCAGGGCCAGAGTTGGCAGCGCCCCGCTCACACCCAGGACTCAGCCTGGTGTCCGCGGGGGGCCCACGCGGGGCGCAGGGGGGTCTCGAGGGCAGTAGGCTGCCACCCGCGTCCACCTGCTCTGCCCGCACCCTGGCAGAAGGAAGCGGGTCTCAGGGACCCTCAATAGCCCCTTGGGTGGGCGCGCGGGAGGGGGGTGAGTGGAGGAAGAGGATTTGGAGGAGGTGAAGACTATGGCTTGGATTGAGTCAGAGAGGAAGGACGCTGGACAGCTGTTCACCTTCCAGAACTTTTCCGTGAATCCTGGGGTCTGGAGAAGCCACGCCTCCAGCTGCTCCCCTCCCTCGAAGGGCTTCCAGGCACCCCCAGTGCCAAGTGGCGGGTCTTAAGCTCCAGGCAGAGCGCAGACCCATCACCCCGCAGCCAGGGGCTGTTTGCACGCAGTGCTGAACCCCCAAATCCTCTCACCCCGGTAACCGACTCGCCTTTGACCCCAGGCTTCGAGCCCTCCCCTCCCCAGGCTGGTCAGTCTGACTATGAAGTGTTCATCTCTGAGCTTGGCTGAGCTGCAACACCTCCTCCAGAAGGCTCCCTGACCCTCCTGCGGGCCCCCCTGGGCGCCGTGTACACCCCTTCATTCCCTTCCTTACTGTTCTGGCAACCCCCATGCCCCTCAAAGGCTGGGCACAGGTCCGGCATGTCGGCCTCAGGACCCCAGAGAGCCTTTTGAAGTGGGTTAAAGCTCTTGTTTCCTACATCAAAAACTAACTCTGACCGTGCATGCGGAGTGGGGGTGGGGATGGGGGGGCATCTGGGAGGCCCCCTGTGCTACGCAGGGCATAGGGAAAGTCTTTTCAAAAATATTTACTTATTGCAAAAAACAGCCTTGGTCTTGCAGCCCCCTGACTGGGGGCTCCAAGGGGGAGGATGCCCTCAGGGAGGAGCGCCCTGCAAGGCGACCTCCCAGCCTCTCCTCCCCTGTCTCACACTCCAGAATCCACATCCAACACACAGCTTTTCTCAGTGTGCGTTAGTATCTGGGAAATCCTAGTGCTTGTTGGGCGGCGGCTAGGCCGTGAGCTTCTCTCTGTGCCTCTCCCGATGAAGGGCAGCGAGAAAGATCAATAGTGTCAGCACCGTGACGTTCCCTGCAAGGAGCCGCGTTAGAGACGCATCTGTGCCCTGAGCTCTGTGTCCCAGAGCCTGTGCGGGACTCAGCCCGGCTCTCCCGCCACCTCCCCGCCAGGAGGGGTTTTGTTTGTGTTCAATACAAAAGCGTGTTTTCCTACCTGTGTGTTTAATGTTCAACCAGCAGTGAGTCAGGGACAATGGGCGGGAACAACCCCCACCCAGGTCCTCTGTGCTCAGGGATTGCTTTGTTTGGGGGCCACACCTGGCAGTTCTCTGGGCGCTAACTCCCGGCTCTGCACTCAGGGATCTGTGGTGCTGACGGGGATCGAACCTGGGTGGGCTGCACTGCCAGGCAAGCACCCTGGCCGCTGTCCTATGGCTCCGGCCCACCGTGCGCTCGTTTCCTTTGAATGAGTGTCCGACAGTGGGACCGTGGGGGCAGAGGCGAGTTCTGCTTATAGTTGTGCTTTGGAAGGGAGCTCCCATTCTTTGCTCGGGGCCCAAAGGCTACACGGGCAATTCTTGGCCAACAGGTCATTGTTTCTGTGCAAGGGCCAGGGTGCTTCTTGGTTCCTCAGTGCCGGGGGTACACCGGGCAATCCCAGGGCAGATTGGGGGACCATGTGGTGGCAGGAATCGAACCGGGGTCTGCACACACCAGGTCTGTGTGCTAACTGCGGTGTATCTCCCTGCTCCTAAAGGTTTCCCATTGTTTTTGTTTTTGGGGGTGCCACAGTTGGTGGTGCTCAGGCCTGACTCCTGGCTCGGTGCTCAGGAGTCACTCCTGGCGGGGCTGGGTGGGACCATCGAGATGCCATGGATTGACCCTGGGTTGGTCACATGCAGGACAGGCACCCTACCCCTGGACTACGTTTCCAGCCCTAATTTTCAGTTTCTTTCTTTCTTCCTTTTTTTTTTTTTTTTTTTTTTTTTTTTGCTTTTTTGGGTCACACCCGGCGATGCACAGGGATTACTCCTGGCTCTGCACTCAGGAGTTACTCCTGGCGGTGCTCAGGGACCATATGGGATGCTGGGAATTGAACCCGGGTCGACCGCGTGCAAGGCAAACGCCCTACCCGCTGTGCTATCTCTCCAGCCCCTGATTTTCAATTTCTTGAGGCATCTCCTCATTACTACTGTCTATGGTTTCTGCACCTGAGAAACATATTGAAGAGGAAGATCTTTAAAAATCAGCAAAAAGGGGCTGGAGTGAAAGTACAGTGGGGAGGGCATTTGCCTTGCACACGACCAACTTGGGTTTAATCCACGGCATCCCATATGGTCCCCCGTGCACCGCCAGGTGTGATTACTGAGTGCAAAGCCAGGAGTGACCCCTGAGCATCGCCGGGTGTGGCCCCCAAACAAGACAAAATCAGCAAAAGAGACATTTCTCTTTTGATAAATGTGTCAATATTATGAAATTGTATTTCATAAATAAAGGTGATACAGTGATACAATAAGAAAGGGGATAAGGTAGATATTCAAATTATAATGTGCTTTGTATAGGATCATATTTAATAGACACAATCTTCCCAAGTTGGTAACTGCATGGAAAAGTTGGGCCGGAGCAATAGTACAGCGGGTAGAGTGTTTGCCTTGCACGCGACTGACCTGGGTTCGATCCCTGGCATCCCATATGGACCCCCAAGCACCCCCAGGAGTCATTTCTGAGTGTAAAGCCAGGAGTAACCCTTGAGCAACTCTGGGTGTGACCCAAAAAGCAAAAAAATTTAAAAAAAAGTAAAAAAAAGAAAAGTACTAATGGTCCAGGTGCCCGCAAGAGGCAGAGGAAAATGCCTGCCTTTTAAGAAAAGTGCTGAGCAAGTTCTCACGCAATTATGTCAACCACAGGACTGAACATGGTGAGTCACTGCCAAGGTCCCCGCCGTGAACACACACACAGCGCATTCAGCCGATGCTTCATGAACTGTCAACCAAGATGGGGTGTTCAAACACAAAACCCTGACACGTGTCAGAGAAAAGCGCTTCCTGGCTGTGCAGAGATGGGTCACTCCCCCAGCCGCCCACACGGGGCAGTCCTAGATGCATGCAGAGGCGGCTCAGGAAGCCACGCGGGAAAGCCAGTGCTGTCCACACAGGACAGTGGCCACCAGCACGGGAGATAATAAAGCGACGGTTACGCGAGGCACAGCATTGGGGCTGAGGTGCCTGCTTTGTACGTGGCCGACCCCAGTTTGATCCCAACACCACATACAGCCCCCTGAGACCCACCGGGAGAGATCCCTGAGCATAGAGCCAGGAAGAACAACCCCCCCCTCCGAGCACTTTCAGGAGTGATCCCTGAGCCCCGCTGGCTGTGGCGTCAACGCCCCCTCACTAGAAAGATCCCCCGAACTTTCAATAATCACTGCTTATATGCTAACTTCCCTTCAAGAATTTCTGCTCTATTACTATATGATTAGGGCTGGAGCCATAGCATAGCGGGTAGGGCGTTTGCCTTGCATGCAGCTAATATGGCCGACCCGAGTTCGATTCCTCCGCCCCTCTCAGAGAACCCGGCAAGCTACCAAGAGTATCTCGCCTGCACAGCAAAGCCTGGCAAGCTACCTGTGACATATTCGATATGCCAAACACAGTAACAACAAAGTCTCACAATAGAGACGTTACTGGGCCCGCTCGAGAAAATCGATGAACAACGGGAGGACAGTGACAGTGACTATATGATTGAGGGCTTCGTTTTTGTCTCTTGCAAAACTGGACACTCATGTTTTGTCTACCTGGGTGTATGTGGGTGTGTATCCATGTATATAATGCAGACATGGCTATGTAGATGCGTGCATGTGTGTGTATGCATGTGGGTCTGTATCTACAAGTGTATATGCAGGTCTGTGGATGTGTGTCTACATGTGTGTATGCAGGTGTCTATGTGGGTGTGTGTACATCTGTGTCTGTGGGTGCATCTATGTTGGTGTGTGTACATGTGTCTTTGTAACCAGGGTGAGATTTTGAACTCGGAGGAGCATATGATGGTGCTGGGATATGTGTCCAGTTGTCACAGGCCCAGGGTCGCTGCTGACTGTGCTGCTACCCCCGGGCAGTCCGCCTGGCAGGAATGATCCCACCTCGGTTCTGCTGGAGGGCTGGGAATCCTGCTCACAGCAGGCCCGAGACTCTAGCCCTGTCCCAAGTCCCAGACCAGTCTGAGGATGGGGGAGCAGACACTGTGACAAGAAACACGGTGGTGGTGGGGGGGTCTTTAAACACCTAGAGACGCCTGCTGAGGGCTAGGAAA